ACGGAAGTTAATGCGTTCCTATGGGGTTCCCCCCCCCCGCATAGCGACGAATCCGGATAGCGACGTTAATCCTGGAACAGATTAACGTCGCTATGTGGGGCACCACTGTACTGTATTTCTAAAGATGAAGTTACCAGAACTGGCCACTAGGGGGAGCTGAAGACCCTGCTATGTATAGCATTCACTATTAAAATAGTGTATGCTGTAATCCATATTTTTCAGCATCCACTGGGGAGGGGGTTGGAACCAATCCTCCATGGATATGGGAGTCCTACTGTCCTGTATAACAGAGGTCCCCAACCCCTGGTCTGCGACCCGGTGCCAGTCCATGGCCTGAGCTGGACCGGGCCGTGGAGACCACCTGCTCCACCCCACACTCACTCACCCCTGCACAGCTGATTCACACATGCACACGTGCTCCAGCACACCGTTTGCGCATGCGCATGAGCATGTGGGTGTCCCGCCTTCCCCAGCCAGTCCGCAGGGTGAAAAAGGTTGGGGACCCCTGCTGTATAACACATAATTTTAGTAGTCTTCTATCAAATGTTTACTATTTCTCATCTCTGTTTACAAATTGAAAAGCAAAACAGATGGTCAATTTCCAGGAAAGCTTATGAATTCAGTCACTGCCAGAGTTGGCTCACTGTTGTGAAAAACTAATATAAACTATTAATATAAACTCCTATATCTTCAGGGGATTAGTTTCAAGCACTCTCCAACAATGCTGAAAACTGTGGATAATCGCAAACACTATACATAACATGGTAAAAGAAAAAAAAATCAAGCCATGTATTAACAGAACTGGCCACTAGACAGAGTCATAGAGTGACCATGCTATGTATTCTTCACCAACAATACATAGCATGGTCTCTGGCGCTATCTAGTGGCCGGTTCTGGTAAATATATGATTAAAACACATACTGTATTTATAGCTTTTCCTTTTCCTTTTAATATTTTTAATATTTTCAGACTTCATTTTAGCTGTCTGTCTCTATGAATAAAAGCAAGCACCCATGTTTCCTGACTTCAAACAAACAAACAAAAGCATAAATTGCATTTGTATCAAGAATAACCAGGATAAGTTGAAAGACACGCTTTAATGTGGCCAGCTATTTACCATCATTTACTATTATTCCAGGCTACAGAAAGAAGAAAATGGAAAAATTTCATTATGCTATGAAGTGCCGCACAACAATCTCTATTTCTCTAAGCATTCATTAACAATGCCGACTCTAGAGCACCTGGAGAGATGTAAACTTTACAACTCAACAGGTCTCCATGATGTAAAAGATAAACTTTGAAGCTAAAAGGGAAACTAAAAGGAGGGACTTAAATGTTCTCATAAAGTAGGATAAGAGCTCAAAAAATAAACTTGAATAGGGCCCGACTCTTCAATGACTTTGCTAACAACATCCTGAGTAGGTTTGCTCTGTCTACATATTCTGAGTGAAATATTTCCCACACCCCTGGCATTTTTGCGGTTTCTCTCCTGCGTGGATTCTAATGCCTCATGAAGTCTGACTCGGGAATGAAACATTTCTCTCAGTCTTGCGTTTGTCCGATCTCTCCCTTGTGCCCCTGAAGGTGTAAATTCTGGGCAAAACTTTTCCCATCCTCCTGGCATTTGTATGGCTTCTCTCCTGTGTGGACTTTCTGGTGCCCGAGAAGGTGTGAACTCTGAGCAAAACATCTCCCACATTCCTGACACTTATATGGTTTCTCTCCAGTGTGGACACTCTGGTGTTTCAAAAGGATTGTGCTATAAGAAAAACATTTCCCACACTCCTGGCATTTGTACGGTTTCTCTCCCGTGTGGACCCTCTGGTGTTTTAAAAGTGTGGAACTGTAAGAAAAACATTTTCCACATTCCTGGCATTTGTACGCTTTTTCTCCCGTGTGGACCCTCTGGTGTTTCAAAAGGGTTGAACTGTAAGAAAAATATTTCCCACACTCCTGGCATTTGTATGGCTTCTCTCCACTGTGAACTCTCTGGTGTGTCAGAAGCTGCGAATTCTGAGCAAAACATTTCCCACACTCTTCGCATGTGTACGGTTTCTCTCCTGTGTGCACTCTGTAGTGTACCCGAAGTGTTGAATTGCGATTAAAACATTTCCCACATTCCTGGCATTTGTATGGTTTCTGTCCTGTGTGGGCTCTCTGGTGTGTCAGAAGGTTCGAAGTGTATTTAAAACATTTCCCACATTCCGGGCATTCGTACGGTTTCTCTTGTGTGTGGAATATATGATGCTTGCCATAAGTTGAAACATAAAAAAACCCTTTCTTACATTCCTCCCATGTACACAGTTCTTCTCCTGTGTGGACTTTTTGCTGATATTGATATTTCTCCCCTCCTCCATCGATTCCCTGGTGGCTCTCAGGTTGCCGATTGCTATCATCCCCTTTTCCAGATGCTTCATTTTCGAAACAAATGTTTGCGGCATGGACTTTCTCGTGAAGCGTAAGTGCCATTCTTTCAGCAAAATATTTCCCACATACGGTGCATTTGTAGGGTGCACTTCTTGTACGATGTTCCTGATCTGCTGGAAGAAGAAGCATAGGGAAAAAAATTTGAATCCTAAATGTGTGAGATGAAAGCCTCCGGAAGGAGAAAAGAGTCAAAATGAACCCACTGGATCTTTAAAGGAGAACAACATGAGAAAAATCTATGAGAGGCGAAAGATGGCAGACATGGACATAGTCCTGACCATTTTTCAATATGAGTGCATCACCCACATGCCCTATTCCAAAACTGACTGCAAACCCAATACAGTGGTGCCTCGCTTAAGCCTCGCTGAGCGATGAAATCGCTTAACGAGGCGCTCTGGGCCATCGCTGGAGCATTCGCTCAGCAATGGCCCCTATGGGCTTTTTTCGCTTTGCGATATTCGCTAAGCGAATCGCTTAGCGAATATCGCATAACGAAGCCGGGGAGAACAGCTGATCGCCGGTTCCAAAATGGCCGCCGGAAGGTCTGCGCCGCATTTTCGCGCCCTGCCCTCGCTTACCGAGGGCGTGAAAATGGCGGCGCTATGGAAGAAACTCGCACAGCGGTGAGTTTTCAAGGTTTCTATGGCTTTTTTATTCCCGCACAGCGATGTTTCGCTATAGCGAAGGTTAATCCGGAACGGATTAACCTCGCTATGCGAGGCACCACTGTATTTCTTAGGATTGAGTCTTGACCATTCAAGCGGTATAAAACTGACCCTCCTCTAAGGAAAGCTGGGAAGACAGACAAGCAATACAACATTTGTTTGAGTGAGTAAGATACCTTGTTTCCCCGAAAATAAGACCGGGTCTTATATTAATTTTTGCTCCAAAATACACAGTAGGGCTTCTTTTCAGGGGATGTTTTATTTTTGTCATGTACAACCATCGATATTTATTCAAATGCACCCATGTCATCATTTTCTGGTTGGTGCACAAGGGTGGAGGGCGGGGTTTCACTTAACTAGGGCTTATTTTTGGACAAGTCAAGATGTACTTACTTAGTAGAGCCTTTGAGTGTGGAAGATGGTGGCCTGTTTAAGTTTTAGTGCAATGCTTTAAATTCCACCACCCCTCTTTGTTTGAATGTTTTCATTTTGTGCTTTTGATTTGCTTCAAATATCTTATGTTTTGATTTTGTCTCATTCAGCTTTGGAACCCACCTTGAAATCTTGTGATATAGGGCAGGCTAGAAATGTTTAAATAAATAAAATAGATAGATCAACTCCAACCTGTTAAGGAGTCCCCCCCTGTCTCATTGTCGCGAAGCGGTGCCGCGCTAACTGGACGTTCAACAGGTCTTGTGGTTGCCAAGATGCTTTCCTCACCATCTGGGGTAGAAAGAGAATCTTGCTGTTTTGCTCCTCATAGAAAACCAAAAGTTCCATTTTTATGGAAGAAGTTGCATAATTCAGCTCATGCTACTTCCTTCCTTCCTTCCTTCCTTCCTTCCTTGTTTGTTTGTTTGTTTGTTTGTTGTTTGTTTGATTTATACCCCACCCATGTATGACCAGTCTAGGCGGCTTAAAATACAGTGGTGCCTCGCTTAACGATGTTAATTGGTTCCAAAAAAATTGCTGCTAAGCGATTTCACCGCTAAGCGAAATGCGGTTTCCCAATGAAATGCATTGAAAACCAGATAATCCGTTCCAATAGGAATGAATTGCTGTCCTTAAGCGAAAATCACCATAGGAAACATCGCTAAGCGAAATGCAGTTCCCCAATTGAAATGCATTGAAACCTATTCAATGCATCTCAATGGGGGAAAAATACAACAAATTTAAAAAGAGTCAGAACAAAGTTAAATTTGGTTAACAAAGGGGTTATTAAGTGCACTTTATGATTTCAAACATTTTAAACAGTAAACTTTAACTTTATAAAAAACAGAAAAACATTTAACAACCAGCAAACATGAGGCTGTTTAAACCATCATTAAGCGAAACAGGGGACCCAAAATTTAATCGCTATGTGAAGCATGGTCCCAACCATCGCTAAGTAAAAATCACCTATAGGGACTATCGTTAATCGAAGCGTAAAAACGCTCTGAAAAAGTCATCGCTAAGCAATTTCATCGTTAAACGAAGCAATTGCTAAGTGAGGCACCACTGTACACTTTTCCATGCTGTGTGTCTGTTACTTTTCCATTTGCCTTAGCCCATCCTTGTCATCCATCATCACACCCAGGCCAGGCGGTGAAGATCAAAATCCCCTTCCTGACTCAAGATACTTTGCCTTTGATGAAGATGAACTTCATTTCCCATTGTGCTTCAACACTGGCCAGGTTGGCCGAGGCTGATGGGATCTGGAATTCAACCATGCTGGGAGGTCCTCAGGAATTCCCTAGAACTCATTTAAGGAAACCCCCCCACAAGAAGTGTTATGGTTGATAGTACTGTCACTGCACTTGGCATGAACTAGGAAAAGGAGCCTTACCGAGAGAGGCCGCATTCTGACGATTCTCCTCCATGTCTTCCCTGTGGAGGGATCTCTGGTCCGGATCCGGCAGCGCCCATTTGTCTGGGGTGAAATTCTCCCCCTCGGTGACCCGATCCTGGAGAAAAAGAAAACATTTCCCACTTACAACAAACAGAAGCGAATGTAATTTTGTGAACCAAAGCCTTCCTCACACTCTCAGCATCACAGAGAAAGAGGACACAATCTATCGAAGGAGGGATATATTTCTCTCTGCATCTGGTGGGGTATAGAGACCAGATATACTCTCTATCCCTGCTTCACAATCACCAGGAGGAAAGACTCTCACCTTCTTCTCTTCCTGCCTCTTCTCCTCGGCCTGACTCAGGAGGAAGCCTTCGGCCAAGGCCACCGCCTGGGAGCTGGTCTCTGCTCCACATTCCCTCACCCAGCTGGACATCACCGGGGGAAGGACGGTCAGGAATTGCTCCAGGACCACCAGGTCCAGGATCTGAGCCTTGGTGTGTTGCTCTGGCTTCAGCCACTGGCGGCAAAGATGGTGGAGTTGGGTGCAAACCTCTCGGGGCCCCTCCGCCTGCTTGTAGGAGAGTCGTCTGAAGCGCTGGCGCTGTTCATCTGAGCTGACAATGTTCTCGTCTAGAACCTTCTTTCTATTTCCTTCCAATAATTCCACACTCTTTCCACTCTGGATGGATTGGGGGTCTCTTCTTGCTTCATCCATCTTTGATCCGTGTTCAATGGAAGCCTCCAATGGGATTAAAGGAAACCACCACCAAATTCAGGGGACGTGGTGGCACTGTGTGCTAAACCGCAGAAGCCTCTGTGCTGCAAGGTCAGAAGATCAGCTGTCGTAAGATCGACTCCACGTGATGGAGTGAGCTCCTGTCACTTGTCCCAGCTCCTGCCAACCTAGCAGTTCAAAAGCATGTTAATGCAAGTAGATAAATAGGTACCACCATGGTGGGAAGGTAAGAGTGTTCCGTGTCTAGTCGCGCTGGCTATGGAAACGGTCTATGGACAAACACTGGCTCTACAGCTTGGAGACGGGGATGAGCACCGTGCCCTAGAGTCGGACGCAACTGGACTAAATGTCAAGGGGAACCTTTACCTTTACTTTACCACCAAATTTTCCCTCAGTGCAACGACTGTATGATCAGATCTGGCTCTGCAAGATCAAAATATTGTTCTTTTTAACAATTCTTAAATGATTCTTAGAGCATTTGCGAAGGCAAAATGTGGGAAATGGGTCTCTTTCCTGATGCCAAAACAGAAATGACTGACTCATGGAATTTCCTTCAGTCGAAACCTGCTCCTATTCTTTACCTGAGATGCACTGACTGCAAACCACCCCCCATGTATTACTCTCTTAGCATTCAGAATCACTCATCACCCGTAAACTCCCTTCTGATTCCTTCTGCTCTTGAAAAGTCCTCCTCAAGCCTTTTTTTCTAGGCTCATCATCATCACCACGTGCTGTTCAACCAATGCAGATGTATGGAAACCGCTTCAAGGGTGTTGTGAAAACAGAGTTTACTAAGAAGTGGACCATCTGTTCCTTTCTCCTCGGGATGCTCTGGGGCCATCTAGTAACTCGTCCAAGACCACAGAGGTCGGCTCTTCTCCTAAGAACTGAACGAATAGAATTGAAGTCCGAACCTCTGTATCCATCCACAGCCAGGTACCCAAAGGGCAAACGGTTTGGGTAAACGGCAACCGTTTATCCAAACGATTTTTAAGGTCACACTTAGTAACACATTTTACTTTCCCTGGGCTCTTTTTAAGGACAATATATATTTTTAAATAAATGCTGTCTAACTCTCAATAGACGTAATGATTTATCAACTGAACCGAAAATAGACATAAGCCCTTGATATTCTGAGCAGCACATCACTGCTTCTTTATTTCTCGCGTGCTTTGTTGTAATTCTTGTCATTCTTGGGTTCCTCCCACCCAAAAAACCCCTATATTATTTGCATTTTGTGGTAGGCTGCCTCAGCAGAGGGAGGTTCTTTTCCTAAGCGCCACCCTTCCTAGCTGTCCTTCTGGAAGAGAACCAAAGTTTTCCCAGGGCAGACTTTTTTGGGGGAGGTTTCAAACGTCTCCCCTCCTCCCCCCCCCTTAATCCCTTCTTTTCCTCTTTGTAGCATCAGAGTTACTATTTGGAAGAGTAAAACCTTGCCTATTAGAGGCTGGAGAGGATGGGGCAGTCCTTCCCTCGCCTTCCCACTCCCTCTGGTTTTCCTCCTGTTTATGTATACAGTGGTGCCTTGCTAGACAATTACCCCGCATGACAGTTTTTTCACTAGACATTGACTTTTTGCGATCGCTATAGCAATTTGCAAAACAGTGAATCCTATGGGGGAATTTCGCTGGACAATGTTTGGTCCCTGCTTCGCAAACCGATTTTCGCTAGACGACGATTTGCTTTTCGCTAGACAATTATTTTCCTGGACAGCGATTTCAGTGGAACGGATTATCGTTGTCTAGCAAGACACCACTGTATGTATGTGTGTGTGTGTTGTTGTTGTTGATCATGATGATGTACCTCCCCTGGGCCACTCCTGCTTCCCTTAACTTTAAACCTGCTTCCCCATTGGAGCCACGGAGGCCATCCTGGCACTCAATGAGCCACCCCCAGGCGGGGACCCTCTTAATGGAGGCGGGAGGGGGGGGGAGAAAGGACAACCTGGCCCTTTTGCTTCAGGCAGCAAAATCTCTTGGGCCACCGCTTCTCTCTCTCTCTCTCTCTCTCTCTCTCTCGGAAGGCAACCCTTCCTTCTTCTGGAGTTTGGGAAGGGAAAATTCCAGCCTTGCAGCCGATGCAGCACAAGCATCGGTTCATGACTTTTTTTGGGGGTGTGTGTCTTTTCTTGGCTACAGTTTTTCTGCACCATCCATGGGGTTGGGGGGGGTAGGCTAGTGCCCAGCCTGAGGAAGCGAGACTTTTATCCACGAAAGCTTGCAATTTGCCTGATTGGTTATTTATTTATATTTATTTATTATTTGATTTATTTGATTTATATCCCGCCCATCTGGCCTAAAAGGCCACTCTGATTGATTGAGTGATTGATTTAGGGGTTCAATAAAGGTATCCTCCTCCTCCTCCTCTTGCAGATTGATTGATTGACTGAATGATTGACTGATTGGATGATTTAGGGGTTCAACAAAGGTATCCTCCTCCTCCTCCTCTTGCATTGGGGTGATCCGAAGAACCACAGGGGGCCTTTTCCTATTCCTTGGGGTGAGTCTCTCCCTCCCACGCCCCAGATCCTCCTCGCTTCCCTCCCCACTCTCCC